GTTAAAACTGTGAATACGATCTCTTTTGAGGGTTTTTGCTTTTTGGTCGGTTTTATTTGGTTGATTACATTAACTGTGTCATTCTTTTTGTTCATTGTGTACATCTCAGAGTGCCAATTCTTGTCTTGATAAAAATTGATTAATTTTCCTTTTTTTTGTTTATTACATGTCAAATGGAAGATTCATTCACCGATTACATAGGTATGATAAAGAATAACAAAATGATGTCTTATTATGTGATATTACGAACAAATAGGTTGGTAGTCTTAGAACATCATTTAATCTCTCATTTATATTGAAGGTGAGATTTCATACTTGAGTATATGTCAGTATGATATTTGTTGGTCTAAAGATTATCTTTTAAGCTTGTTTACAAGCACCCTAAGCTTGAATACTGTATGTATGGGAAAGTTAGCAATAAGAGAAAGACGTATATGCCTACGAAATTATTTTACTTGAACTATTCCTCATCTACGAAGAGAACCTGAAGACCAAGAAAATTTGGTTATGCAGGTAATAAATGTATTAAGTAAATTATGACACAAATATCATAAAAGAATGATCCGTATATCCAAATGAAAGGATGAGAGAAAGATACTTAATTAACATGTGACTCTTAGCTTCCTTAAGTACCTAAAATTTCCAACAATACTTAACTTTATCACCATATTCTACACGCACATATGTATGTATGTATGTATGTATGCATATGTCTGTGTGTGTGTCTTCGTTGCTTAGACCAAACCAACGCTAGATAAAGACTTAAAGAGTTTTTTTATACCAATCTTGAAGATAACTAATCAGTTTCATGGTTGTGTCTCTCTTCATCTCAAGAGAAATAAAACGTAGACCTCAAATGAAATAGGTTCAAAGTAGTAAATGTATAAACAACAAATTCAAGTTTTCCGGTCGTTTTAGTCTAATACATTTGTTTTCTTTTTCTCATATGAAGCATGTACTTAAGACTTCTTTGAGGAAAAGTAGTCATGGATAAATTCCAGCATTGATATAACCCCTATTATGAGTTAGATAGCAAGGATGAAGAAACATATTCATCTCCGACCATAGGATCACATTTTGGCTTAACATTGTTTGGGTGGATGACAACGATGCATCTACAATTGGCTTTGTACATACGTACCTTATTGTTTGTATATATGTTTATTTATAAAAGTCTAAATTCTTATGTTTTCTAACTGAAATTTTGTTACAAACAATGCGTATTAACACATTGTATCAAAATTGTTGCTTGTTATTATCTTCTTGAATAATGTCAAAACTGTTTTCAATATTTATGATTATTGAAATGAAATCATGATCTTGAAAAATATGTTACCAATTATTTAAATAGACCTTGATTCTTCTCTTTTCCCCTGCGTGACGAGGGGGTGAGTTGCTAGTATTGAATATTTAGAGATGAATGCCGAAATTTGTCATTATGCACACAGACACAAAAGCATGGCGTTGATTCATTATCCTGTTTCTTTTTCCATTACAGGGGGGAAAACATATTTAGTTCTTTAACTAATGACGTGTGCTCTACTAGAGAGGACGCTATTAGTTGTAGTCCAATATGAGATGCAAAGATTGGAGGAAAACAGCACGTTTAACCGAACAAAGTAAACTCCACTTATGATATCTTCCACTACGGAAAAGCTTGCAGCGAAGTAATTTTTAACATGCGTGAATTCGGAGTGCGAATCAATTATATTAATAAAAAGGAGGGGATAAAAGAAACCCTGTATCATTCTTGCAGATACAATTCAACCTCCACATTCTATACGTTCCATAAATTCCAGAAGCTATTAGACCTTCTTGTTTGTTTGTTTGTTCTTTTATTGAACACAGTTCCGAAATCTCCTTACGGAGCATCAGAAAAAGGAATTGATAAATACAGTAACAATAAAAAGGAATTGATAAATACAGTAACAATCAAATACAAAACTAGAGAGAAAACTACTCGAAAGGCATTTCACTGATATGAAAGCATTCTTAATAAATTCTCTCAGCTGTTGAGACTGGGCGAAGGAAAACAACGATCACAGTGATATTATCTCCGCTTCCACGTGCAGCAGCTTCAGTAGCCAATCTCTTGGAACACATTGCAGGTTCTTTCACTGTGTCTCTTATTATGGAAACCACATCCTCATTGCTGATAACATCCCATAATCCATCACTAGCCATTACCTGAAAGTATGAATGGTAACTTAACCCTCCTATATCGTGATCTTTTATTGTTTTACCTTATACCATTTCAGCATGAAATCACAACCATAGATGATTCTCCTATTTGACTTATCATATTAACTCATTTAATACAGGCAGGAAAAAAAATGCTACATTAATACTTTAGAACAATATGTTAGTAAAAGAAATATTAAGCTGTTATTACCTATAAATAGTCGGAAATTCACAAATTAATCAATTGCTGGGGACAATAATTTTGGCTAATGTATGGACTCGTAAATAACTTAAAACCTTTACTTTTCCAAAAGATTTTAATCAACATATTGTGTTGTGACACTTCATGCATACTCCATACTGATTAATAATAATTTGGTGTATGGCTCGGAGAGAGTAAAATGGTACTAGCGACATATATCTCACTTCCTTGTAGAAAAGCAAAGCCGATAATAAATAGTTGAGAAGCACCAAATTTGCAAATTCCTATACAATTTTCTTCACCTAAATATTCAGCGGTAAACTAGAGAACATTGATTGATGTAACAAATATGATAATGTAATATCACTTGGTTAATGTCCAGTAGTTGAATAGCTTCGAGAAGAACTTGTACCAAAGAAAATCATAATGTTAAATTATTAATAACCCTACCAGGTACTCGTCATCTGGTGACAACGAAGTCTCACTTATCTCAGGCTCTGCCGTAACCGCAGGCTTCAGATCATCATCACCAATAGACCGTGTAACCTACAAGGAAAAAAGAGAACAAAATGGAGCAGTTTTAACAATGAAAAGAATTAACCATCTATATAACCATAATGGTAACCTTTCCTATCAGCAAAGACAGAAATAGTTCATTCACATATTATGAAATAAAGAGTACTAGGATTATCCATAATTTTGAGTAATTAGCCCAAAAAGACAGAAAATGATGATGGTTATTTTGCAAGGGAAATATATCTTCTGCATCTTATTTAATCGTGATAGGTGAAGGAAACTTCCGCTATGAAATTTGGTATGTAAACATGTCAGCACTTGTAGTTGTTTCACACGATAAACCACCAGCAAATAGGTCTATTATCTGCCAAACATGCTAAATTCATCCAACAGTTAAATATATGGACTAATCAATATCTGAAATAGAACAGTTTTATTTAGATAGGCAGAGGATTGAAAATTACCACTCCAATTTGGAATCACTCAATGAAGGTACTAAGAAGGAAATACTGAGGCCTCTATTCAGAGATCCAAGTTTGAATATTTCGCAATATATACTTCTCATTTTGCCAATGATGGAGACACTTGATATTAAATGCATACCTTCATGTTTATGTACACAATGATGTAAGTTTTCAGTCCAGAGCAGATACTATAGGGTGTGTTGGATGTGGGGGGGGGCGGGGGGGGGGGGTGTTAGAGGATGGATTTAAGTGGAATATCTCTCTTTTAACGCATTGTTTGGGAGTTTTTGGAGGGTAAGAGAGATGGAATGAAGGTCTAAATTTCCCTAGACTCCCCGCCCCGCCCCCCCCCCCCTCACAAAAAAAAAAAAAAAAAATGGGTGCAGAGGTGGAAGGCAATCAGAGTAAATTTTCACAATATGGCCTTATGACATTAAAATCAATGGCTGAGATATACCCTCATCTTAATAACATATAAGAGTATTTATGTGACTTTATATATATTCACTTCACTTCTCTCCTCTTTATTAGAACTCCCAAACAAGATAAAATAAATTTACTTCCGTTCCCCTTACTAAACTCCCAAACAACATTTTAGGATACTCTGACTTCACTTCTTTTTAAGAATAATGCTGCTCTAAAGGCAACTATGTATATTGGATAGTGGAAGAGCAATAAGAACAAACATAATCCCAATCAAAAGGGTTGATGCATTCCACTAAAGATCCTAACCCCTCAATTGATGTCAGTAGCCAAAAATGACAAGTATACTAAGCGATCACTCTACAAGGAGGATGTCAGTAGCCGAAACGGCAAAGTATACTGAGCGGTCACTCTACAAGGAGGAATAAGGAACCCAACATATGAAGAACACCTAATAAATGTTCCTATAATTTCTTACTGTCATACCATCATTATCTTCATTTTG